ATCTCTCTTTCGCGTGTGCCTGCCCCAAAAGCTTAATTACTTTTGGAGTACTGTCCTTCCCGGAGTGGTAAGCATTGTTGTTGGCCCACTCAAGTTGCCGCCCTAAAAATCTATGACGGCATCTATGAATTTACGAACACCAATCACACAAAAGGCATAGAAATTGCCCCGAAACTCATTAGCAATGCGAACCCAACGAAATTTTCCGCAGTGTGGCGATCCGTCTCCGAATCACAACGAATGGTGGAACGGTAAACTGCCGCAGATCACGAAACGCGGGATGAAATTCCATGATTGAACGGCCGGTTTTCGTGACATTTTGAACGTATAATCATTTGTTATAACGGAATTGAAAACGAAAACGACGGTCCGTACGTGGTTACGGAATTTCCGGGGATCGTCCGGGAATAAATTTAATCGGCGACGTTCGTTTATGTTATTCATAGCAAAATTGCATAGTAGGGCGCATTAATTCGCGTTTTGCGATTGTCTCGCGGGTCGTTGGATCGCATTCAACATCGAACGCCTCAAATCAATTACCAGAAAATGCAACGCGGTCTGCGCCATCCCGTCACGGCACCCGATCGCTTGTACTAGGAGTTTCGGACGTTCCTAAATGATTATTACACGTCGATAAATGTTTTTTTTTAATTTTTGGTTTTGGGGAAACTTTGAGGGGGATTCATCGTGGAAAAATAATGGTAGAAAGTCATGTAATAAATATTCCAAATCGTAATGTTTTCCGAGTTACAGCTTGTCAAAATTTACGTTTTAAACACTTATTATTAACGCATGATCTCAATTCTCAAACGGAACAAGCTGGGATTTTACACAGAGGGCCTGGTTTAGTAAAAGTCAAGTGTTTCAAAAATTTGTCACTAGAGGGCACTTTACCGGCAATTTAGAACAAACTGCCTTAAGCAGAATCACAAATCCTCGAAAATCGTTACTCTTTTCTCAAGTCGATAAATGTTATCGTTCGGCCACAAATCGATATTTTTATTCTCGCCACGAATACCCCACACTAATTTACAGAAAGGTGATACTGGACATCGCGCTATGCATCTCTGTAACGGAAAACCAAGTGGAAATGAAACCCAGCAATATTAACCTACACCAAGTTTTTCAAGACATTTAATATTTTCGAAAATAAGAAAATATTAATAATAAACGATCATTTTCTTATACACATAAAAAAAAATATGTCGAACACGAAAAAAATAGGCCTAACCTATTTCTAATGATTTCGCAATCGTCTATTATTTTTTGTCATAGATCATTGATATCTGATATAAGTGTTTCATACACTTTAAGTGCCCCCAAGAAATTTCATTAAGTTCTGTTAGGTAACATAACATTTACAAGCAAAATTCAAGCCGAGAATAAAAAAAATCGACCTCGAATCGAAATTTTTGGTATAATCTTCGTGAAAATAAATGTCGTTATTATACATGTAGTTTTGGATTGTTGATTGTGTGACACATGAGGAAGGGGTTTTAGTCAACTGTCTACTGTGATAACTTGCATTATCCATTATAATGACGCTATTAGGAGGAATGTTTGGGGTATCATAAGTGTCGAACCAGGTTTCATCCAAGTAAATAATTGGCCTTTGCTGTTCTCTGTAAGTCCAAATTTTTTCTAGATATTCCAATGGCCATTTCCGAATACTAAAAGATTCCATTAAAACTTGCCTTTTGTCAATTTTTTTAAATCTAAAACCCATGTGTTGAATAGACTTCCATAAGGTAGTTCTGCCACATTTAACACCGGTTTCATCTTTTTCGAGCCTCCTTATTAAGATACCTAATGTAGGCACGCTTTGTTCCTCGTATAACTGGTAAATTTTACGCCGTATTATATCTTGATCACTTTCATCTACACTCGAGAAAATATCAGCATCGCTTCTTTTTTTCCTCGCTGAAATGGGATTATTCAAAATTTTCCATACAGTTGATGTTGATGTCAATGTGGCCGTTTCTTCCTTCCTTCCTTAATCACAGTGTTTTCTACATTTGAGCTGGAGGGTCTCCTGAGATACACTAGATTCGCACATATTTTGCATAATTCGCACACGATTCAACACACGCTGTATTACACACGAAATAAGAATGATTACTAATAAATTTAAACTAAGTAGTATACCAAACCAATGAATATTAAACACAGATAGGTATAAAATTATTTTCTATTACGGACCACGATTTTACCTGAATTTATATTCCGAAACTTTAGGTAATAATCTTGTTGCATTGTATGTTAATGACCACGCTTGGATAATCCCATTCAAAAGCAATTGGTCACTTTCTTATATCTATGAACAGACCATACCATGAATTTCCATAACCATTGCCACTGCTGCTTCAAAAAATATTTCGGCAACATCTGCAATGTGCTGCGAATAGAACATTTGCGATTAATATTAAAGGAGGAAATTACGTCCTTTCCAATTCGCCTCTTACTGCAACAGCTGACGATATATTCCTACCATCATCATTGCTTCATGTTACATACGAAGTAAAAAGTTTTTCTCAGCACAAACTGATATTTCCGGTGAAGAAAATCGATTTTACAGGTTTTTTGAAATCAGAAGATCTAAATTATCAAAAATATTGTAATCAAATTAATTTTATTTATTCGTTCCAATATTTCTTTTTTATCGCCCCCGACGAAGCATATAGAATAACTTCTTCAAGACTCGCCCTTCGAATGATGATTTGCAATGACAAATTACATGCGCAGAACGCATTTTATCAGTGTTTCCCGTACCGACAAATACAACAGGTCCGAACATGTTGCTTTACCCAGTTTAAACGCTGGCATTATGTGAAACTGTTCAGCAAAACTCCATTTTTAATCAAGTAGAAGTTTTTAACTATTAATTATCGTTATTTTTAATACGTATCGTCTTCGCATCCGAATGTAAAATACACGCCACTGACTTTAATCGATTTTAGATGCCGCCGGGCATGCCCGCTCTAGGGTGCTCTGTGCATTTTCTCCATTCTTCTCTGTGGCAGGGCTAAATTTTAAAACACTACGTGTCCCGATTCGCGTAGCTGATATATAAGCTCCATGCAGTAACTCTAACGTCCGTTTTACTGGAATCTACGTGGAAAGCGCGCCATAGTGGCGGACGCGATCTTAAAACAATGGCTCCGTAAATAAAAGTAATTGTTTATTGCTGTTATTATTTTTACGGAAACGCGGGGGGTGGGGGTGGGGGGCAGCGGCGCCAACAAGATGTAAATTAGCTCCGTACACTTAATGGACGTGCAAACCATACGAGAAAAATTCCGTTATTATTAAAGAACTGCTTAGCAATGAAAAATATACTAAAAGCACTTAATTTCTTGTCTATAAAACAAAAAGTAATGTTTAATGTCTACGAATTTATTTTTAAAATTAGACGGCAGTGTGTTTCTAATTATATTTGTGAGAAAGTCACCTATTTGAGAAACATTCATTGTTACAATACAAGAAATTGTGCCAATTTTATGCTTCGCTCTTAGTTTTTGTCTACAATTTTATATGTAAAATAACTATTTTGTTTTTTTATGTGGCATAATAATAAATATTATTGTTTATCGCGTTATCGGTTAAAAAGTCAGGGCAGCAGTCGAAACAATGAACGAAAATTAGCATCAGCTGCTCTAACATTGTGACCTTACTCGACGTTTAAAAACTAGTGGCAATTCTGCCGTCCCTCTTTTGAGGACCGAATTTAGTAGCACGCGTTGATTAATGGGCAATTCCGAGTCTTTCCGAAACAGTCATCGCGGGGCCGTAACTATTAAAATTAGGTAGCGATTCATTTCGGCGTCAGTCGTATATACGAAAGTTAAATAACACAGCGACAGCGAACAATAAAGGTCGGATAGTGCGCGAGGCACAAAGGCAACGATTTTAAAATGTAATAAGCGAAGTTGTTAGCGAGATGGGTAGATATGAGCCGACAGTCGAGAGCGTTTTTGATGAGCTTATAACCATATTCAATTACTCACGCTTGTGTATTCCCGGTCGCGCTGAGTTACGGTGGCCGGAGCCTGCGAACTGAATGACACCAAGGCGAAATTCATAAGATTTCTCCGTTTCAATTTTTGGCTATAATTATACAAATTTGATTTGATTTAGTGAAAATACCAGTCTACAATACATATATCATTAGATTGTCAGTCATTTCATGTTCTACACTAGCATAAACTTCTGTTTTGCGTAACTAAAACAACTGAAATTGCTGATTCTGATGTAGTAAATAGTATTTGCAGTATTGGTGCTACCTTACCGAACAGAGTTCAGATAAAGTCTGTTTATAGATATAAGAAAGCGACTAACTGATCCGAATTAAGGAAAGACCCGGGCAATAATCTTGTTGCATTGTATGTTAATGACTTATATCTATGAACAGACCATATCTACCCTAATCTTATATTATGCTGGTTCATATTTTAATTTTAATTGATACCATAGTTCATTCAATGTTATATTGAGAGCTTAAATTCTTTGGGGACCTTCAGTCTAGAAGGTAGAGTCCAACAATAGTTGTCCAACTTAGAAGCGCCTCTTACGAGAGTTCCGCAAGGTAGCATCTTTGACCCTATAATTTTTTCTATTCTAAGGCCTGGTTTGAATTCTTTCGAAGTGTAGGTAAGTTGTTTTTCTTATTCTAGATGTACTGTTTGTTTCTATATTTTCATTTTTTTACTTTAACAATGATTGGATTTTCTTTATATACTTTTAAGACTGCCAATTTTGATATTTTGATATATCGTTCACAGTTTGCCTTAATGTGCTACTACTATTTTTTTATTTGACAGCCTTCTAAACGTTAATGAATAATAAATGAACCTTAGAAAAACGGAAACATTTATTGAATGATATCTATAAGCGTAAAAGCTAAATTAATTTCTTTTGATAATTCAGCGTCTGATAATCACTGAGCACTAGAAAATGATGCGCAAATTATAAGATTATGATTAATATTTTCGACTTTAACTTACCTGGAAATACACCTGTCCCTGGTCCACCCAACCGACGACCATGTCGGCGCCGGCCATTTTCCCATCCTTGGAAAACCCGAAACCTACGTAGCCCAGGGTGCGCACCTGCACCTCGAAAGTGATATCCTGAGGGCCAGGACCTAAGGTCCACAAAAGCCGATAATCCGGGCTGAGGTAAGTCGAATGGGTCCATCGCGCGCAGCTGGCCAACGACACGACACAAAAAACACTAAGCACTGAGAGAAACTTGCTGCCGAAGCTTTCCATTTTTCCTTGACCACGTCTTTCGGAATTAATACTTCTTTGGCATTACCTGCAACAAGAAAGACATGTTTATTTCGATTGTTTCCATTTTTCGCACCAACACTATCGGAAAAGTCGGACAAGAATTAAAGAACTGATTGTCGAAATGTCCTATTTTCTCACTTACATTAGGTATTTACTCCGTAGGAACTTTGCCAGAAAAATAAAAAGGATAGATCCCTCAAAAGAGCTAGATTAAAATCCAGCACCGCTAGAAATAGACAGCTAGTTTTGAAAAAAAACACTTTTGCATCAAACCCTAATAATAGGCATCATGGCATGATGAAAATTGAAGGAACGATGGGTAAAATGGGTAAAAATAGTTTAAGCGAAAATCTGTAGACCCAAAGCACGCTACTCATGTTGTTCATACTTTACAATACTCCTCGCAGGTTTGAGACTCCTCCTCAAAGTCCGGATCTCAACGCAAATGAGAACCTGTGGGATATATTCGAAAAAATAACCATTAAATATAAATTAAGAAAGGTTTTATTAAAGGAAGGGAATACTAGGGGAAGAAATAGCACAAAAGTCACCCGACCAAAAATCTGAATAGTATGAACTGGTCATATTTTATTATTAGTTTACCTCTTAGTTCCATATTATAGACTTGCATGCCTTAAGTCGTCGGTATAATGGTGATACTAGGAATGAAACAAATACGGAACTTGAGAACTGAGAAAGGCAAGACGATTAAATAACGAACGTGACTTCTTGGTACATTGTCAGCAGAGTAAGCAAGCGAATTTGATCAACTAGCAAACAAAACCAAAACAGTGCACGAATAAATGACGTTAGATTTGAATCATACTACAGGGTGTTACAAAAAGTAGGTCAATTCAATTTAAACCGCTTTCGATTGCTTGAGCTCCCAATTGTTCTTCTTGTTGTTCTTCTTCGAGAAAAACGTTGGTGTCTGGAAAAGGTTTTTTCCAAAATATTATTATCAAGTAATTAAGTAATCCTACTATCTAAAATCTAAATCTAAAATTCTTGCATGTAATCAATTCTTTTACTCAGGTCTCCAATTGTCACCAATATGGGAATCAGTCATCCGAGACGGTGTTTAGGTCACTCATTTAGCTCCGCCCCCCTCAAACAATATATAAGCAGGTACAGAGTAAAATACGAGCCAGTTCCAGTCAAGCTCCGAAGAAGCCAACAGGAATGGCGAAAAGGCAAAATCCAGAAGTTTTATAAAAAGCATTACAGTATGCGTTTTTTTGTATTCTGTACATAAATAAATAAATATTACAATAACAATAACGCATTTTTAAGAGGAAAGGACCGTTAGCGAATCGGTCCACTTTTTCGTAGCGCCCTGTATTACCGGCGGACTTGTTCTTCGCACACGGCGCGGCGAATTAAATAATAACGCAGCTTAAACCGCGTGTGTGTTAATAACCGTCGTTAATGCACTTTTAATAATACTTCGAGGCATTGTCGTCAGCGTAATTGATATCAGCAAACGGAAATTAAGGAGACGCGTCGCGGAATGAATAATCGTAAAACCTGTAGAGTGGATACGTCGGGGTAAGATTGATTACATCGGCCGTGCAAGTATCTCATTTGCCGGTAACAGGATACCCGTTCGGGTCGGGTTTCGCAACGCGAAAAATAAAAAAATCCGCGACTATAAATATAAATATTCGCGGCATTTGTTGCAACTAATTGGCGCTGCGCGAGCGCGTATATCGATTCAGGCGACTATTCTGGCGCACCGTTTAAATTTGTAGGTTATTTATGTGCGGTTGGCGTTTTAATGTTTTTAAATCCGCCCGGGCACGCGTTTTTAATGTCGGATTCGTGTATCCGTTAACGTCGAACGTATTAAAATGGCGGTTTACGCACCGAAATTATATTCGGGTGCGCCATTGTTACGTTAAAACGAAGCGGGACTAGTACGGGCCGTGTAAACCCGGTCAACAAACTGTGACGGTTTTCGCGTCCAATGAGAATCGTTCGTTTTGGTATAAACCGGAAAGGGGTGGGGGGATTTCGTGGGGTCACTTAATATATTAAACGCGAGATTGAATACGGGCCTCATACACGTATATATTCAACAGATCGTTTTATAAAACTAACAACAGCAGAAGATACGTTGCGATACCAAGCAGAATACTAACAACGCAGGTCAACTTTACAAAATGTTATTGACAGAATCGTAATGGCACCCTCTGCTGGTAATGTCTTCTAGACACAAAGAAGCACCATAAAGGGTATCTGCACTATTAAATAATAAATAAATAATTTATCTGTTCAGTTAGCTACAAATATTAAAAATTAATAATAAAAAATAAAAAGTAAAACTTCAATTAAAACATTTTATACAATACTTTGCTTATACTGCGCAATAAAATATATTTTCATGTCCCACTTCTAAAAAATCGTACAAATAGCTATGAACATAACAAACAAAAAATTTCAGCACGATTTTGTAATTAATTGTAAAATTGCCAATAAAAGAAATTATTCACATAAAGAAGGAAAAAAATCAAATATTTTAATAATAATTTAATGTAAAAAGTATATTTCTGCAAATTACAGTATACATTTAAATACATTTAAGATATTTAAATACTTTTATATCAAATACTTTATTTATATAATATTTGATTATATTTCAGATTGTTATTAAAAAATATTAGTTGTATGTATATGCCCATAATTTTTTTAAATCGTTATATTCATGGTTACGAGAGAAAATCATATGCAACATTCACAAAAAATAAATTTTTCGGCAGAGATTTTGAATAACAAAATTATTCGATCAAAATCTTACTGGAGCCCGGTATTTAAAATTTATTTGAAATTAATTAATTTCCCAACCCTAAATCAGCCTGATATGCCACACAGGCAGGTTTGGCTTAAACAGGATGGTCTGCAATATATGGCCATATTTAAAATCAAAAAGTCTATAAGGAAAAACCAGCAAAACCATATTTTAGCTGCGCACAGCATAAGACGAACTCATAAAAATAAACACAAGCTTGTTAAGTATTTTTTGTGCACCTAATTCGTTGATACCATATACGCCGTAACGCGTTATTTGTTTAAAATTTTCACATACTGAAGTACTTTCATTAAACCGTAGAACGGAATCAAAAGTTTAATCCAAAATCCATAACCTAATTCGATTTAAAAGTGCTGTGCTAGCACCGTCTGCCTGGAGGATTAGAATCCTTAGTAAGAGCCCTTCCAGCGATATGCTGCATCGCAAACAAACCCTGCAGGGTTACTTAAGGGCTGGGATTAACTAACTAACTAATAATGTTACGCACAATGTCCGAATCCATAATCTGCGCCACACATTAGCAATTACTGAACATTTCTGACACTGGAATCGCCATCGTCCTCATTGCAGGTCATCGCGTATACCTAGAATTCTATAACCAACGTGAATTATGGACGGTGGACTAGTTTTTTTGCCCATTTATCTTATCTATCTTATTTCTCTAAAACCATTTACCATGTTCTTGAGGGTCTTCCTCTACTTCTTCCGTTTGTCAGCTTATATTCAATCACTATCGTTGACTGTCTTTCAGGTTTCAATCTCTTTGTTGTTGTAGATACTCTTCCTGTGCTCTTATTTCCTCATTATGTATGCATATATCAAATTTAATGTACGTATGGCCTTTTCCCTTGGTGTACTCTGTTGTAGATGTTTCTGAAACTGTATCTCCTAGATATTTGAACACCTTACAGCCGTTCCTGGAAGTTTAATTCCCAGTGTTCTACGTCCCCAATCCTTAGATACTCAACCGGTAAGTTTCAACAACGACGGTCGGTTATATTTTAATTTACGGCGTTGCCATTCACGCAATTGCCATTCACTTCGTCGTCGTAACCGTTTTCAATGGGATATCTTCAGGATCGACATGCCATTAAACGGAAATAAGAAGACTGCATAAACACGACACACGTATAATTAAGCTACGAATTGCGTGCGTGAGCCTCGAACGAAATTAAGGCACGGTTTTTCGAGTCCGAGGCAGCTCGGCTAAATCGATTTCTCAGTTCGATAGATATTATGCCCCCACGTAACCTTCAAATCAATCATCAGACGGACATCGCAGAGCTCAGATTTTGGTTAGATGATGACTAATTTTTTTTTCTATGTCTAGCTAGTATGTGAGCCGCGATTTGAACTCTGAGCTAAAGGTTACGCCGATATAAAGAGGAAACGATACATTATACACACACTTTGTGTAAAGTTCTTTTTTTTATGACGCCGTCTTCTATCGAAAGTCAGCGATCCATGGTTATAGTGGTCAGGCTCCTCTATACTGTAGTATTCCCTGTTTGATGGTCACGAGGGGTTCTTTATGTTAACCCATTTGTCGCAGTATCTCTAGGTTTGTCCAACACTTCAACAATCATACAAAAGAGCTGGAAATATATAGCAGGCAAGTATTCTGGTTCAGAGTTCAAGGTTGAGGTTTCGGTTTGCTCAATTCTCGATCTCATCTCCGTTTTTGGGTCTCATTGTTGATTGACGGATGTGCACAGGTATTTTAGAGATGACAGTGTCTACGTGTCTCCTATTGGGATTCTACTATCATACGACAATGCGAACCACACCAAAGCGGAAATGGCAAAAATATGACCATGGAAGAAACAGAAAACTAAATGGCCATAATAACCGCTGGTTTTTAGAAGAACATTGGTCAATGTTGGTAGAAGAAGTACCATATTTTCGCATTTTCCTTATGGAGGCATCAAATGTCTGGTTTATTGCACCGTAGTAGAAGAGCTGAAGGTTCTTTTAAGAGAAGTGTGTTATCTTTTTAAAATGGACCCAAAGATCGCCTCCTTAGTTATTGACATTGAATATTTATTCAGATTGGTCTGTGGCATGGGTAAAAAGTTATAGGATTTCTGAGGAATGGGTTTAATTATCATGAAATAGTTCCACATTGCATTGCATTGCGCCATTAAGGTTTACATTGGACCCCTGTCCAGGGCATGTGCTCTAGGCACTCGCAGCGCCTTTAATGGTTCCTGGCAATC